AATGTGAGTGCCATATTCATTAAGCGTTTCGGCATTTCCATCTACGCCCACCTATAATGCGCCGATTAGAGTAACACCAAGCTCAAAGCCAGGAGATGGTAGGCTTGAGTAATCCCTGCTTCATCTGTCTTGAAGTGGATACTGCCTAACTATTGACCTTTTAACCCTCCATCCATGACTCTTCTTTCTTGTGTCAGGTCTACAATGAGGCTTACTCTGCTTCATGTGTTATGTTAGATATGGCTTTGCTGCGCGCTTATCCTGTTATCCAAGACAACTAAATGTGCGCAATATTGATTGCGCTTGGAAGCCCCTACAGCCAACTTCCACCAAGACCTCCAACCTCTTTCCTTACAGGTATCCACAAGAGGCTTGTATTTTCCAGTTTCCTCTCATAACTCTCTTCGATTCTTTCTTCCCATGCCACTGTGAGTTCAAGTAGAACAACTTGCTTTTTAGCTGAATACCATAAAACATTATCTGATCTCAGTTTGGTCACAGTTATTTCTTCAGGGAACTTCAGTTTTTTCTTTTATTAGATCAACCTCCATTTGGCAGTCCTTTGCTGTACTAAGAATCCACATTCAAAGATTTCCTGTTCGTCAAGTTTGACCATCTCTTACAAAAGGAATGAATGGAACACATTTTCCTTATTTCTTCGAAAAGTATTAAATATAGTTTTCAACAAAAGTGAATGAAATTAATCGTACAATATATCCATCACTGTAAGAAAATCACTCAGTCATATTCCTTTAAAATGTTTACATACAGGTCCTAAAGCTTGCCTTGTTAGCCTCATTCTGAGAAAGCTATGAAAATACATGAAGTTATATAAGGGCGAGTCTATGATTTGTTATTTCACGTATTAATTGATTAACAGTTTGTTTCATCGTCGGATACCCATGTCTAACCATTAACATTGATCATGGTTAACAACCGCGGGACTATCCGACGATGAGGTTGATTATACAATAATGCATTTTTCATCTCAATAGCTTTGGTTTTACATCAAAACTTACATTTCAGGCCCTTCGAAATCAGTGATTCTAATTTCTTTAGTGTTGTAGACTGAAAACCACCACTTTGCCGGTGCTCGGAGGAGATCGGCGAGAGTTTTCGAATTTGTATTTTTCTCTATGAAGAGACTCATTAAAACTTGCCATGTTCATTTGTTCTCATGTTTTCCAAATATTTTCAGAATATCTATAATTGTTATCTTTAATCCATATTAAAATAAAGAAACATGGCAAGGGTTAAGATTGACTTCATCAGACCCCCTTTCAAAATTCTATTTCATTTAGTTCCGCTCATTGTTTTTATGAATTGTGGAAAAATATGATTTTTGGTAAACTTTACAAAAATATTTCATAACATATACAAAAATATACACTCGGTTTGATTGAGTCTGTACATGAGGGATAATGAATATGTGCAACATCCCTTACGCCCCCTAGCACCGGCTTGAGCGGTTCTTAATTTTCAACACTTAATAGTGCTGGCATCAAAAGTTTTGCGGGTAAAATATCGCCTCTTCCTAAGCCATTAAAGAAAAGCCTTTTCATTCCAACGATAGAAACTAGCTGATATAGATCCAGATTTCTGCAAAAATCTTTGAAGAAGGTTAACATTGCCAATCAAAATATCGGAAAACTCTTCATTTTAAATTTTATTGGTCTGAAAAAAAAACAACAAACAAACAAAAAAAAACACCATAATAAAATCAAACTTTTATTTCTTACAAATTCAAAATATTTTATTACAGAGCGAAAGAGTTATACATTTGTAAATAATTTTAGGATAATCATATATCTTAATCATTCTGACGAAGTCGTCTTGCCACATCCGATGAAACCACCAATCATGATTTACTCTTACGATGTCTTCTTAAAAATAACCGATGAATCCATAATCTATAATTCATTCGAACGCATTAATTTAGCAACAGCTGGAAAAATCTAGAAAAAGAGTGTTAAGCGTTATTGGGTGCAAAGATCCACCAATAAACATCTAAACTTAAAGGACAAAGATCTTGAATCAATGTCAACAAAGTAAAAGAATTGTCTTAATCATTAAAATCAATCCTTTGTAACAAATTATTAGCTCTATTGTTTAAAGTTAGATTTTCTATATGAAAAATAATTCCAGACACATAAACTTTAATGTTAAATACAATAATCTATAATTCCATTTTCGCTGAAACTTTTTAACAATTAAAGTGCCTCCTTTATTAAAATCATTTAACTTTTAAATGTGATGGAAAATTTATTTTGTATATAGCAACTAAACCCTCCATGTAGAGGATTAAGCACGTTACCATAAAAAGTTCCATTTATTAAATGACTTCGTAGCCTCCAAAATCTGAGCTAAACGCGTCTGAAAACACAACCTTTTGTTGATTGAAAAATATCTCTGTAATTCAAACCATACAATTTTGATTCCCATGACCTCTGATAATGATATATATGTAGACAATCCCTAAATAACGTCCGAAATGGCAAAATCTATCATCCACGATCGTCTTAAGTTGAATTTGTTTTGTATTTGGAAACATTGGCTGATGTGTGAATACGGTAATTAACACGTTTGTTGCAACCACTATTGAAATAAAACCACTATTGAAATAAATTATTTCAATAGTGGTTGGGAATGCATTTCATTAGAAAAATCACTTTGCAACCACTATTGAAATAAAACCACTATTGAAATAAATTATTTCAATAGTGGTTGGGGATTATTTCATTTGAAGAATCACTTTGCAACCACTATTGAAATACAACTACTATCGAAGTAATTATATCAAAAGTAGTTGGGGATGCATTTCATTTTAAGAGTCACTTTACAGACACTTTTAAAGACTAATGTTTCATTATTTTTTTCTTATTGTAGAAGAGAATGAACTTTTTAGAAATATTACTTTGTTATTACTATTGTAACGCAAGAAACACTTTATCTAACGAACAATATCAGATATAAAAAGTGGGTATTATACTTGCATATTTTACGGTATTAATAATCAAGACTAAAAGGAAATATGGTATAATGTTACAATTTTCACGGGTGTGCAAAAATATATAACCAATTCACGCAAATTAGAATGCAAATAAAAGGTATTAAAGACTTATATTTTACAGTAATTATAACCGAGACTATGAATTTAACGTACCTCTTTTCGGATTTTTTACTGTTGTGCAGAAATAAAAAAAAATCTCGTAGAATGATGAATAGAATTGTTTTCATATTCTTTTCTTTACCTTTTTCTTTCTATTGATATATTATGTGAAAATCGTAAATTATTTGTACAAGAATTAACACATTGGAAATTACCGGAACTTCAACTCAAACCCCCTGTATATTAAAATAAATCAATTAAGGATACATGTAATTATAAACATCACTATTAAGATAAATTATTTCAATAGTGGTTAGTGATGAATTTTATTACGACCACTATTGAAATAAATTATTTCAATAGTGGTTAGTGATGAATTTTATTACGACCACTACTGAAATAAATTATTTCAATAGTGGTTGATGATGAAGTTTATTTTTTTTTCTATTATTCTTTCTATTGATATATTATGTGAAAATCGTAAATTATTTGTACAAGAATTAACACATTGGAAATTACCGGAACTTCAACTCAAACCCCCTGTATATTAAAATAAATCAATTAAGGATACATGTAATTATAAACATCACTATTAAGATAAATTATTTCAATAGTGGTTAGTGATGAATTTTATTACGACCACTATTGAAATAAATTATTTCAATAGTGGTTAGTGATGAATTTTATTACGACCACTATTGAAATATATTATTTCAATAGTGGTTGATGATGAAGTTTATTACGACCACTATTGAAATAAATTACTTCAATAGTGGTGGGTTATGAAGCTTATTATGAGAAATAATTTGCAACCACTATTGAAATAATTTATTTCAATAGTGGTTTTATTTCAATAGTGGTTGCAACACACGTTATCTGTGACGTGGTCTGCAACAATTGACATCAGAATGAAAATGACTCACTATTTCATCAACTCTTTCAGCAGTTACTGTGCTGTGAGATTTTACCATAGACAAAATCTTGAACATGGTTCGAAATGCAATATTTAGCCTCCTAGTTTAGATATAAATCAGACCTTTTTTAATTAGTAAATTGTAAGGCAATTTATATAATTAAAGACACATTCATATTAACATGAACATGTATTAAGCTATGTCTGGAATCAACAAACAGATGAGAATAATATACTTTTCCAGTTGATAAAACAACACATATTAGTAGATATTATCAACGCTGGTACTCAGGCATAAATAATTCGCCACGCCTTCAATCTTACTGTATACTTAAACATAATTTTCAAAATTATTTAGATTGCATTAAAGAGTACAAGTATAGGGTTTGACTATCAAGACTTAGAACATCGTCGTACAGTTTATTTATAGAAACCGGACGTTACGAGAATATCGCGCGAGAAGAACGGCTTTGTAAATCATGTTATATGAGAAAACACGTTATGTACTTGCCACAATTATATCTTTCTTGCTATAAACTTTGTAAACGAGTTTTATGCAATAAATTTATGTTATGTTATGTTATGACGCTTCAACGAATTTAAAGTTTAATAAATGTTGTACTTATAGCTGCTCTCGTTAACAAAGATAATTTAACATCAGTATTGCTTACATGTTTTAATGCAGTGGTGTAACATTTTCGGGTTTTTAGAATTAAAATGGAAACAATAAGGCTGAATTGTAAAAGAAATAAAAGAAATATTGTGATTAGAGCAGTTTTATTAATCGGACCTTCGATTCTGTGTCTTATAGTCATTGGGTATGTTGACAAATCGTTCAGTTCCATTCCATTTCAGCGACAATATCTTACCAGTTTATCCAGTGATTTCAGGCAACAGAACGCGACGCTGATTTTAAATAGAAGTAAAGAAACTATTATGGATAGTAACAGATTTAATACTGCGAGAGTTCATAGCAAAATGCCGGAAAAATACATGCATCCAAAACTTGGAGATCATCATGTAAAAAACTGGACTATACTCCTCACTGTTAACGACGCTTATTTTGACTTTTTTCGGAACTGGCATTTGGTTTACCGGAAATTAAACATTAATTACCCAATAATTATCGTAGCAGAAGATGAATTAGTTTATGAAAAATTAAGACCATTTCAATCTGAATCGGTGACAATAGAAAAAAGTGGACATGAGGATGTTGACAAATCTGCAGCGTATGGAAGTAAGGAATTTAGCAAATTAGTTTCTCAAAGACCAACACATATTTTGAGGCATCTGACAAAAGGAGTAAATATACTTTACTCGGATATAGACATGGTTTGGATTCAAAATCCATTCCCATATTTCACAGGTGATTTTGATATGTGGCTTGAACTTGACAGCAATAACAATTATTGTACATGTTTTATGGCAATTAAAAGCAACGGAAATTGTTTGAGACTAATTAAGACTTGGCAAAATTCTCTGCAGCTCGAGCAAGAAATAGATCAAGTAGCATTTAAAAAAGTAGTAAAGAGCGTTACTATAAATATTTCAATTTTAGACAATCGTACCTTCCCGACTGGCTGGCAATATTTTGACAAGTATACGGAAAAACAGCAAGAGTCAGCTATTGTCGTTCATAACAACTGGATTGTGGGAAAGACTGCAAAGCTGGAGCGTTTCAAAAAATATAAACTTTGGTTTGTTCCCGTATAACAATTGTGATCGGAGTTTTAAGACAAATATTTTATTGCTTAAATATGACTAGACTAAGTGTTCACTGAATTTTAATTTGTTTTTGATAATAGTAGAATAACTTTTATGTTCAAATGCATTTGATCATCGTGGACATCTCTTTACACTGGTATGTTTCATGGTTATAGATTATTCCACCTTTTTCATAAAGCAGTTTCCTGATTAAAGTCTGTTCGGCTAACACCAATTTTATAATTTCTCATCTTTTTCTTTTGATATATATAACAATTATGCATGCATTACGATATAGTTCGATGCCATATAGGCAAACCATAACAATAAAAAAGAGTCCAAAAATACAAAAAATGTATAAAGTTATAAATCCATTAAAATTTAGTCCGAGAAGTGAACTTCTATGGTCAACAGAAATGTAGAATGCCATATATCTTAAGGAGTTGTAAAAGACTTCACTCATGTCCATTTCCCTTATAAAGATTGATTGTCCGAGTGCGAACAAAAGAATGATTGTGATTGTATTTTCAAAATTCGCCTTCATCAGTACATAAGAGAGAGGTGTTAATGCTATACAGTGCACATGGAAGTAAATTATCACCGCTGGTAAACTACGGTATATATATTCCATACTTTGTTCACATAAGAAGCACAATATGTAGAAAATGAGTAACCGACAAAAGCCCACTGTGGCAATGACCCAGGAAAATAATAGACCACTGGAAATATCAGCGGCTAATTTGGCAGGGGATGGGGATAATAGCCCACTGCTAAATTTGCAGGGAGGGCAATAGACCACTGCTTTATTTGGCAGGGGGACAATAGCCCATTACTGAAATTGGCAGGGTCACTGCTTATCACAATGGTTCATAGGACTTAGATAAATTTATATGCATTATTATGTTAACTTTAATTATGAATCATGCATCCTTCATCATAAAAATAGTTTATATGTAAAACATGACTGGTGAAGTCACAATCGTCAGATCAGTTTTACAAATAACATATTCTTAAAAGCATTTCATTTTATCAAATGATGAAATCTCGCTAGATAAATCAATTTTTAAAGTTTTCATGCTTCATCAAGTATAATGTGAAGTATAATGTGAAGTTAAAAATACTCTACAATCATTTGTTGCCTACAATAATAGTGTTCAAATAATTATTGTCAAATTAAAACATGTTTATTACACACATTTTGTCTAAAACCTAGTGTAAGAGAAACACCATGTTATTTTAATCGGCGTTTTAAACTACATTTGTATTTTATCGATTTACAATAAAACTACCTTTTATTAAACATTCGAATGCCTTTTCTATGTCTTTTGATAATATTATGTGCTGTAACATAGACATACACATGTCCAACAATATTGACCTGACACTTCATTAACGTTCGTAGGGGTCATATGAATAAACACTGACCATGCAGTATCTATCTAATATATCGACCTCACTCGTTAGTGATGTGTGGGTTATTGGTATGATGTCGGACTACCGATCTGAAAGTCTCTGGTTCGATTCTTTACCAACACCACGTTGTATTTATTTTAGTTATGCAAGAGTTCATTTGAAATCGTTTTACTTGGAACACCTGGTTTTTAGAATACCTTTTTTAGTGGTGTTTATATACAAATATTACATTACCGTATCTTTCTTTCAACCGTTTTTTTGTGACATTATGCAATCGTATATACATGTATGTTTTTAGCGCACACACGCTATAAAGGTATATATTAAAATACTACATGGATAGTATACAAAAAAGGTTTGCAATAGGTTTAAGAAAATGGTAATTTTAAAATTTAGAAAAACAATATTTATTAGCACAGAATGGCACCTTAAGTAACAGAATAACAGCAAAGTAACAGAAACAAATGCATAATTGATTGATTCCAATGAGGGAACATAATTAAAAGTTGGAAAGGGGCATAACTCCTATAAATGTTGCTTTCAGAATAATGCCCTTGTCTTACATTTTTCTTTTGACATGATATATAAACGTTCTTAGTTCCTATTGAAACCTTAGATGGTTTTGAAATCATTAAACTTAATAAGCAATTTTAATAAAAATTGTATGTTAAAAAGGGGCATCTTTAACTAAAAATAAACTTTTAAGATTCCTTTTCTTGGTAAACAAAAAAGGGAATCTTTTCATGGTAACCCAAAAATTCCCCAAAATTTAAAACTAAATTAAAAATGTTTGGCAAAAATTTGGGCTTGGCAAATTTAACAAAAATTTTTTCTCAAACCAAAAGGACCAGCCAAAAAATAACCCAAAATTTTTTTTATACGAAAAAGAAAAAAAAAAATGGAAAAAAAAGTCAGTCCCCAAAAAAATGCCCTTTTAAAAATTTTGTTTTGATGCATACAGCCTTTAAAAATGGAAAAAAACTCAAACCCAAAGAAACTTTCAAACCCCTTTATTTTTTGGGGCATTGCCCCCAAACATAATTTAAAAATTGGGGGCCCCAGAAAAACTCAAAAAATTTTTCAACCTAAGGGGTCAATTTAAGCTTACAAAAAGTTATTCAAATAATTTTTTGAGTTTTAAAGCCTGCTTTCCAAATTAAAGTTTTTGTTTTGTTCTTTCCGGTTTTTTGAAAATTTTAAAAAAACCATTTTTTAAGTAAAAGTAAACATCACTGGGGAAGGGGGTGCCCCTTTTTTTGTTTAAATTTGGGCTTTTTCAGTTTGTTTTTGGATTTGCCAGGAAAATTTTTAAAAATTTTCATTTTCAACTTTTATGCATAGGGTCAAAAAAATATGTGAAACCCGTAGGCCTTTAGAGTTTTTCAAGAAGGGTTTTTCCCGCATTTTTGCACTTATGAAAAATTTTTGGTTTTCTTTCGGAAATTTTTTCAGTATTTGTAAAATTCTTTTCCCTTTTTACTTAGTAAACGAATTTTTTGGGTTTTAAAATTTTGGGGATTTTGGGACAAAAAGAATTTTTTGGCCCCAAAACGACAAACCCAAAAAAATGGGTTTTTCCCAAATGTATGAATCTTTAAAAGCCTTGCATTTTATGGGAGCTTTTTCAGGATTCATTGTGTCCCCTTCCCAAAACCTTAAAACCCAATACGAAACTTTATAGCGGGAAAAGCTTGGGTCCTGATAAAACTGGGGCGGAGCCAGGGGGACTGGAAACCATGCTGGTCGCAAGCAAAACCCCTTATGTTTTTGTTTCCCTGACGCGGCTCAAATGACGCATTAGATGGGCATAACATGGGGGAAATGGGGGGTTTCCCGTGTTCCCCAGTCCTTATGGATACATTTTTTAGTCTCAAATTAAATTTTTTACGGTTGGTTTTTAAAAATAAAAAATGATTTTAAAATTTCAACTTCATTTGAACATTTAAAAATTTATGTTTTTGAGTTTATTTGTCATGTTATTTTTTGTATCAAAAAATTTTAAAATTTTTATCTTTAGGGTCTCCCCCAAATCAAGGGTTAAAAAAAATTTTAAAAACATATTTTATATTTTGTAAAGGGTTGGTTTCGGGAGATATTGGTTTTAAATTTGCTGGTTAAAAAAGAAAATAGACCCCTGAAAAGGCCCCTTATTAAAGTTTTTTTAAACCCTTTTTTTTTCACACTTGGGGCAAACAGGGGAAAGGAGAAATATTTATAATTTAAAAATAGCATTAAAATTCACAAAAAAAAATACATAAAAATTTTCAGAAATCAGTTTGATTTTAGTCTAACCCCGGGATAAATTTAATAAGGTGCAAGATCCTTTCACCCCTAGCACCAGCTTGGAAAAAGCTCTCAATTTTCAACACTTAATATCGGCTCAATTGATCCCCCAAGGACCAAAAAAAAATATAACTTTAAAGAATAAACCTATTAACCCTTGGGCACACAAACAATTTTTCACAATTTAATTTTTTTAAATCAATAAACGCCCAAATTATAAAAATAACAGATTAAAAGCGGGTTTTTTTCCTTCGGGCCCATTTTCAAAAGGAAGTGGGTGGCCCGACGTAGCTACCAAAAATTCTAGTGTACCAACCCCGGGCACTTTTGTATTTACTAGCCTACGGCAAAATTTAAAAATTTTAAGACAGTCAAAAAATGTTTTAGGGTTTTTTGTTGGGCCTTTGACGAGAATTTTTAAACCAAAAAACCCGTTATTTTTCTTAAATAAAGTTTTCCCCCCTTTTTTAAATGTAATCTTAAGTAAAAGCGGGAAAAATTTAAAGACGCCTTAAATAAAAATAAAGCAAAAATTTTTTTACGAAATTAAAATTTTAAAACATTTGTATAAAAGAATTTTTTATATCATTTTGTGAAAAAAGCCCCATGGGAAAAAATAATCTAAAGGCAAAAGAAACTTTTTTCCCTAAAGGGATGGATCGGGGAAATTGGGAAAAATAAATGAATAAATAAATAAAAAAAATAAATAAAAAAATAAATAAAAAAAATTAAAAAAAATAAATTTAAAAAAATAAAATTTAAAAAAATAAATAAAACAAAAACATCAAAACAAAAACGGGGAAAAGCAAAATTGTGTAAATTTTTTTACAGTAGATAATTTTTGAACATAAAAACATAAACAATAAAACTTAATTTTTAAAACCCATCCGGGAATTTGACTACTTTAAGTAAATTGGGGAAAAAATTTAGAGCACAGCAACATTTTTTTTCCCCTCTTTTTTTTATTTTTTTAAAGGGGTTTAAAATCAAACTTTGAAACCCAAAAAATTTTTTTAAAGAATTTGTAAACAATTTAATTTTATTTTATTTAATTGCAAAAAAATGCCTTTTTTTTTCCCGGGCCCTTTTGGGGGATTTCCCAAAAATTGATACATTTCCATTTTTTACTTTTAGCCTACATTTAAGATTAAACTTTTTAAAAGGGAAAACATACGAAAGACAATTGGGTGTTTCCTTTTTTTAAAATCCCTTGCGTAAAGTAACAAAATATCAAAAGGGATTTTTAAAATTTGAT